AAAAGCGAAAGTATGAAAAAAAAAAATTAAGACATCATTCCCAATATCCCTCACCATTCTTCCATATATGCATCCTTCCTTCCTTCCCTATAATCATCTATTCCACCTTTCTTCCTGTAGTTAAGGGCAATATGCATTTTATACATCTCAAGCTGTAGTGAATGTTATATTCAGTGCAGGTTTAACAGCTCAAACTCTTTCCCAATTAGACTTATTCCTGAGTTGAGTTGTACTTTTACCTAATCCCAAGTAGGTGTTTGGCAACTATATTTTCAAGCATTTGCCAGTAGGAGACATTGACAGGGCATGTTTTCTTCTCTGGGCAGCATCTTAATTAACATGCACTTTTAATTACACAGAGCTGAAAAACTCTTTGGGCTACTATTTGGGCATCTTCCTCTACAATCTATTAATGCTGTAGTTCATCTGTTGATTTGGTGAAATGTGTTATTGACTTGGACTCCACAATTTACTTTACCTTACAAAATCAAAATCACACATATATATATATATATAATGTGTACACACTGTTCTATCATAAATAGAAATGAGTTTTACAAGGGAACTATCTTTTTCTTTCCTCCCTATGCTTTCTTATGTTTTCTGAATGCTTTCTATCTTCTCTGTTCAACATTTATAAAGATTGATGCTTTGGTGTTAATTAGTCTCTGCTTTGGTATGCACACTGCGATGCTGCCCATTCCTGACCCTCCAATCAGTTAACAGACATGACAGGCCTTGTCCAATCAGATTAAGGCCAGCGGGACAGGCTTCCTGTGTGGAGCTGTCAGTCAGATTCATTGTGGTCAGTGTTGATGGATGCGAATGGGCCTCAGAGACCTAAATGATTAATGTTTAAAATGTGATTTACTATCATGCATCATATTAGGTGGGGGAAAAAAAAGAGGAATAAGAGCGAGTGAACTCTACATAGTTGCTATGCAGAACACAACATTATTATTTATCCTGTTGAAACATATACTGTACATTCTTGATCCTCGTTGAATTCTCAAAACTATTCATAACTGAAGGTGTTCATTTACAAAAGTACTTGGGTATTTTAATCAATAGACAAAGCTGTCTGTTAACAGCTGTACCTGTTAAGCATAATTCTTTTCTTTCATATATTGACTGCAACCTTTGGTATTTGTTTTACTCTGAGAAGCAGTGGAGCTATTTGTAACAACAGTGAAATCAGTGTAACACTTTGCTTTGAATGTGTGTGTGAGAGAAATACTTTGTATACATGTCCTGTGTAGTGACATTTATTGTCACTACAATACATGTAGTGTAGTGATCAAATTTGTCATGGTACTGCAACTATTTATTTACTGAGCAAGAACAGCATCGGAAAAGTTCCAATGTGGGATTTTTGACTCCAACACGAATCTGAGTACCTTGTCTGGTATTTATTGACAATAATGAAATCTGATGACATTTACATGCCTAAAAAATGATTTGACTTTACAGTGTAATAAGCATCAGATTAGATTGTGATGTTCAGGATTCTGCAGGCTCTATAATTCTTCCCTTTCATTATTTGTTTCAAAACACACAGCATTGTCTTCATTGAGAGATATTGTTTCAGTCTTCAGAAAACTCTCATTCTGCTCTAACAGATTTTGTGCTTTAATGCTAGGCTGACATTAGCTAGGACACATGTCTGTTTTAAACACAAATATGTGTCTCATTACAGATAATGCTTGTTTTCTATTTACTATGCTGCTTGATTTATCTGGTGATCTAATTGTGTCAAATGCTACATTCTGATGGCATCATGTCTTATAATTTTGCTGAAATGAAAAACTAATACACAATTGGGCGATGGTTATTGGTTTCTCCTAAAGTACATGCTTTATGCTGCTGCATTTTAAATGCTTTAAAATCTACAAAACACTTTCTGGCCATATTTATTGACTCAAAACACAATTACTCCACGTAGTCGGCATAAAACTTTTATTCCACTGGAAGAAGCTCTTCACACAATGTTAATCTTTTGGGTGATTATTTTGTTCGGTGATGTGCCCCGCACCAAGGGACACAATGATGTTTCAGAGTTACGTTCAGCTGCCTGCCAAATAATAAAGTAGTGCAAAAGTTTGGAAGGCTGGTTTTGGAAAGAGAAATGTATTGTAGTAGAAATTCTGTTTCCAAATCCTAGACAATGATTGTATTTCATTTAAAAACCTTAACTTTCTAATCTGTATGATACCCTTTTCCATCCTTCATTCTCTAAGTGTTGTGTGTTGACCTGAAAAAGCCGAACACTCATAGAATCTTCTTCACATTATGCCTGTTCCAACACTCTGTTTCTAGCTCCACCCTTTCTCCAGCACCGTCTAAGAATTGTCTTCTGCCACTTCTAATTTTTTTTATTTTTTAACTAAAATATTTTTGCTGCATCACGCCTCCGCACGCCTCAAGAAATTGCAAACATACCCATCTCACTGGGAACACGGAGCTCTGTGCGGCATCAGAGACTGACTTCACCAGTCTATTGAGAAACCTCAAAGCGTATGCTATAAGATGATAGTTATATAAATAATATGCCACGCAGGAAGCAATGCATTGTGACGCACATTTCTCAGAAGTAATTTGAAATGTTTGTCCCAAACTTTTTTCACAACTATGTGTTATGCAATTGTTGCTCTCTTCTGGCTGTTTTTTTTTTTCTTGTTTTTTTTATTTTTGCCTGCTGCTGTTTCATATCAGTGGCATGTCACCTGGGTTTGCATAAACCAATGCTCTTGTTCTTATTGGCACCTGTGCAAGCATGACGGGCTTCTTGTTTTAGAGTTAGTTTCCTGCCAGCTTCCTCTTGCCAGATGAACCCCTAAACGCTCTGGTACTTGCATCTACTCTCTTTCTAATTCTCCCTCGCTCTCTTTTCCTTCCCTCTGCTCTTCCCCACTTGCCATCTCCATCCCTACCAGGGGTTTTTTAATTAATGGCGAGCCATGATGCTTATCTTATCAGCAGATCACTCTGCTTTCTATTAACTACACTGACAGAGCTGAAAGGCTGTAGGGGATGGATGACACGCACACGCAAACACACACAAACAGCAGTACACATCAGCACATCTCCCCATGGTCACATTCTCTTAAGTCAAGACACAAATGAATATAAATAGATCTGCAAATACACAAACGCACACTGAAAGTGTAGCAGACGCCAATGGGCACCGATGCAACGATGCCCACAAAAAAAATAATAATAATTTTAAAAAAAAGAACACACACACATAATGATGCTGTCTTAAACTTGCTACACACCCATCACACACACATAAACAAACAACCTGCCCTGATGTTATCTGGCTCTGTGATTTAAGGAGACCTGTTTGAGGGTCTCTCCTCCTAAATCCCTTAAACGCCTTGGGAATCCCTCCTCCTCCTCCCTCACTCTCTTTCGGTCGTGTTTTCGTGCTGAAAGAACACTTATCATTTGGCAGATAAAGAGCTGTCCATGCTGGAGCTTGCTTTATCTTTGAGAGCCATGTTTACTCCCTGTGAATGTGCCGCTTTTTGCAGACATTTCATAAACAGCACTCACTTGATCCGCCAGAAATGAGAGCGGCGGGGCTTTATTTTCCTGCTGGATGCAAAGTTTCACTTCGTCCTTTACCCCATCAATGTTCACTCTCTGGGCAGGTCAGATCACCCTTTTCTTTCATGTTTGGTTGAGCTGGGCTTGGGGGTAAAACAAATCATTATAGCTTGATGGGAATTGCAGAACCCACATTTTGTCACAGACCTGTAACCACATAGGCAGAAACAGCAAAAATCAATCCTCAAACACTTCAATCAATGAAGGCTGTGAAGTTTCAACATACATTTCATTTATTTATTTATTTTTCAAATAGCTTTTAAAGTAGTGACCAATGGGCAGAGTAGTTATTGGAGAAAATATTACACTAGGTGGAGGTAACACTGTCGTGCGTGTGTGTGCGCGCACACTTATAATTTCCTCATTTAGGGGCCTGTAGCAAAACAATTATTAGCACAGGATAACACAATAAAGCAGGCCATTTCCTGAGTACTACCAAGGGACAAAACATTTATTTCACTTTGTCCACTGTGTTCAGAGATGTGTAAACTTCTAATAGCTGAAAGTACAGAACATAACTCAACCTGCCCCCTCAGCAGACAGTCTTCTAGCACATAATGTGCTGCACAATTTATTTATTTTGTTTACATTTTTTTGGTTGGGTTCTTGCTCATATAAAATTCTAACACATTTCTAATTACGCAGGTGAAAATTAGCTTTCTCCTTTTGTAGTTTGGAGGTAGTTCACCAAAGTTTTTCTTTTCTCTTAAAGAAGTAGTGAACACAGTTATGTTCTTGACTTGCCCTCTTGTTTCCTCTTGCTTAACACGTCAAATGAGTTTTACATTCGTGTTCCAGAAGCAAATATGAGTCAGAAAATTATCATGTATGTTTTTAGGTAATAAGTTGTATGTCTTTCCTCTGTGGCCTTTTTGAATGAAGTCCTCATCTTTGATCTAAGATAGAGCTTAGGAAACGGCGTGAGGTGTGTTTTTTCTCTTTTAATTCTATTTTTTGTTCTCTTATCATTTACTTCTACGCGTTGAAGTCGCTACCTGTTTAACCCGCTGGGCTCATTGTTTTATCTATCATCTCCTGTGTGTCGGATGGAAATGAACGTGTTTTGGTAGACTCCTCATTCATCAAGTGCTGTCTGTGATTTAAGTCCCACTGTGTTGCTTTCTTTAAAGCACTCTCTTTTAAAAATGCATTTGTTTGACTAAAGAGAGAAATAGAGAATTTTTTTTTTCTTTCTGTCTTTTTGATTTCCTGAGTCTCCTTGTGAGTGCTGTGTAAACATGGGAGTGAATATCTGAGTCTCCAGCTTTTGTGATGTTGGGCGGAAAATCTGTGAATCACTTGGACCTGTCTCAGGTAATCTCTTGTGTTTCAGCTGGATGCCTTGTTAATGTGCTAAAGAAATCAAAGTGCCTCTGTCTGTTGCTCCACAGAGAGTTTGGGTGGAGAGATCCGGAGCTGCCAGAGGTGATCCAGATGTTACAACACCAGTTCCCGTCGGTGCAGTCCAATGCTGCAGCTTACCTGCAGCATCTGTGCTTCGGAGACAACAAGATTAAAGCTGAGGTATGCTAGTTTTGTCTAGAGTGGTGTCTTTTAGTTTTTGGTGAAGTTTTGATAACTCATGCTGCATTGACAGGAAATCTAAAATGAATGATGAAAAACTAAAAATTTGTTGACAAGGAAACAAGGGAATGTCATCTTCTAAAGATTACAAAGAAAAAGCATCAGAGGTTTATTATTCGCCAGTCAATTCTCTAGTGATGTTATACATAATAGACTTTAACACAATTTCCATGCTGAAAATGTACATTTTACTGAACTGGATATATTGAAACAATAAGGTTCAATTGAATCTAGAGCTGGTGGTTTGTCTCCCAGAAGCAATTTCTTTAATGTCCTTTTAAACAGCCTTTAATAAAACTCGAGGTGCTAAAACCCAATCACACTGCCTCATTCAAATTCTCTAAATTTCAGATCTCTAGCTCTCCAACCTCTGTTACTTCTTAATATACACTTAGCACATTAATCTCCCTCTCATTCTGCCTCAAGCATTTGATTCACCAGTAAATGTAGAGAGGGTCATTGATGCCTTTTTACTCAGTATATAATTTTTTTTAATATCTCATTAGAAATAAATCAGTGCAGCTCACTGATCTATTATGTGTGCTGCACTGACTTTATAATCTTTTACAAATATAGTTATTTGAAGCTGTTTATGTACAACCGAAAACAGATGTTTACATACACAAAAAAAAGAGAGATGGAAGCTTTTTTCTCAGTGTCAGACTTTAACATTTAACACAACTTTTTTGCTAATTTAAGTCTGTTAGAAGACGTAACATTAGTTTTGCATCCTAAATGACAACAAAAAAGGGAGCTAACATCTCAGAAGTCACACAATAGTCTGATTTTTGGTTCTGGTTTCTTTTCTGCACTGTTCAGACAATGACAAATCTCTCTGTCATTGAGATTTGGGTCTCTTCAAAACACTTAAGTCACTGTACAATTAATTTGGTGGTAGACTTAGGGTCACTCTCTTTTTAGAGGACACATTTGTGTCCAACCTTTAAGTATCTAAATAATTGTTTTGAAATGTTGTCTCTTACAAAGGTTTAACATCTTTGTCTATTGTTTTGCAAAATGTTTGAAGGTATATTAATTTTAAACTTCAGTTTAAAGAAAGTGTTAAAAAGTATTTGTGTGACGTCAGATCATGAGAAAAACTTTTTTATACTTTGTATGTGTAAATAGCCAGTTTCAGTTATAAATAAGCATAAAATAAATTCTATAATTACACCAGATACAGTGGTTATATTTAAAAACAGTGAAAAATAAGTTAAAACCTTTGATGAATGAAACAAACTTGAACACATAAATTCAAAACCATTGCTTCAATTCAGTTACTAATTACTACTGCCCACCTACACACATTCAGACATTTTCAGGTACAAGAATGTAATCACTTTTAATGCATCACATTTCATTACACTCCCACACACTGTTCCTTGCTACTCTGAAAGAAACACAAGTATTTTTTTCTTTGTTAATTGTTTTTAATTGATGTAATTTCTGCCGGAATTCAAGTATTCAATGCAAATTATTTAAATGACTTGTGTACATATTCCCAATATATTAAGAGGCAGCAGTGCTATTCACCATGTTTGTAAAAGATGATAAATTAGTTTTTAGTATGAATAACACACATTTCATCTGTAAGAATGCATTCTTTGTTGCATCTGGTTAAAATAAAACCAACCAAACAAAAAAAAAAAAAAAAAAACAGATAACCCATCACTGTCCTACACCAAGTTTTGCATTCAGTTTCACTCGTCTCATGAACAGACATTAATTTAAAAAAAAAATCACATTGACTAATGAGTGCCAAGGTAGATATGGGATATTAATTTGGTTAAAGATCCATCCAATAAGCGGCTACAAGAACATAAATCTCTTCTGTGATGTCAGTGAAAATTATTTGATTTATAAACGCAAACTTTACCCTGAAAATAAACTATCCCAATCACTGTTTTGACTTTAAGCTTTTAATCTTTGAGCTTCTTTATATATGAAAAGATTAAGTTGTATTTCTTAAAATACATTTTAGGAAATAACATACACCTCAACTTGGTGTAGATCCAGCAGATGCATTTTGTAATACTTGATGCTTCTGTGTAATTAAAAGTTTCTAAATATGACCCTTATGTTGACTGAATCTAGACCTATTGTCAAGATTTTAACCAGGATTAAAGATTCAAAATGTATGTTCTTTCTTTGAGAAATTTCTTTTAAAAGGTTAGGCCATGAGATCCTTTCTGAGGTAAAGTTGGACAAAATCCTTGTTTACTTGTGTACAATAGACACAAACGGCATGTACACATTTGTTTGTACAGGTGATTTGTGGGATGGTTAAGACTGAATCGTTAGTTAAACTGAACATGTGACCACACCTATTGTAAATGGCCTGCTTTTTACCTGCAATTTGCACAAAAAATGAATCAGACTTTGTTCTTTTTAGTGATAATTCCCTTCTTTTTTCTCTCTGTTCAAGAAAAAGACAATGGCTGTAGTCTTTTCTGCTGGAAACAATTTAACATAGAAAGAATTTCCATTGATTACCTAGATTAGAAAACTCGAGTGGTTTGTTCAGGTAAATTGAGTTTTAACACACCTTGTGACTTTGAAAGTGTTTTCCACAGCTTCATAATGAAAAAAACAAAAAACAAAAAAAACAACGCATAAATAAAACACAGATCAACATAATTCAAAGCATTTAGAGCCAGTGGAAGTGTGTCCGACTCACACAGCCCCAGTAGCAGCAGCAGTACCTTAGCTTTTGAACTTTGTTCACAACTTCTTGCAGGACAACAAGCCACCAATCACGGGACTGACACTGGTCTCTGCCAGGCTGCCTGAACAGGTTGAAACCTTGGATAATATCTTATCCAAGGTTCTCTTGGCTCTCTGTTCGTCTAACAGTTTTTATTTCTACCTGATCAGTCAGTCGGTTTCAGTCCAAATGTTTCATGACAAAATACAGAGCAATGTGAGCTGAGGATTTGTGGGAATCCTTTAAATTAGGCCACTGATACCAGTTAACAGTGCCTGAAATGTATTTATTTAGAAATTATGAAAATGTCATGTTCATGACGGTGATATGACAGTCTTTATTCACAACCCATCAAAGTGTTAACTACTTTTGTCTTTGACCTTGATCAAACAAAATGTCTGCTTTGAAAAGGGAAGCAAAGAGCTATTTTCTTTTTTTTTACTTTATTTCTTAAAACAAGTAAGTAAAATATCTGTGTTAACTTTTCAAAGCTATGAATTTTCTTATTGGTGATCTAAAGACTCCTTTGTGTCCTGTCCTCAGAGCCTTATTGGGTAGCTGTGGGTTAGCACTCAGGTTGCCCCAGTTTAGAATTGTCAAGAGAGAAATGTTAGCCAAGAGTCAAAAACCCAATTAGACCATGCTTGAAAGACACTAAAAAGCAGTTAGCCTTGGAAAAATGTCAAGGAAAAAAAAAAAAAAAAACCCTCTTGATATCAGCAAGGATGCCAGAAGACGATGCTATTCAAACTTTTTACAGCCTGTTTTTGATTGTCTTCAGAAGGAAAGCTGTCCGACCAGTCCTTTAGGACCTGGATGTTTAAACATGTCCTCATTATTGAGACACTGTTTTATGTTAAAATCAATAGTCTTTGGTGTCATTAAACAAGATACCAAGTTTTTATTTAATTTTGGTATGCTGTGATTTCAAATGTTTAATTTTACAAAATAACTTTTTTCTTTTTTTTTAATATATATATATGTATTCTCTGTGCAAATATATTTTCACATTTAGGTTAGAATTCAATGCAGGTCTATCCCAACAGCAGTGATTTATTGTATCTTTCACTTAAGAATGTCCATATACTTTCTGTCTGTTGATCTCAAAGCCACAGTTCAGCTATACTCTGTGCTGCACTTGCCTACCAAAATGGAGTGAATCACTTTCAATTCAGATTTGTGGGAACTGTCTGCAGAGATGTAAGAAATTCAATCGTGTCATTAGATTTGAGCAGCACTGTGAAATTTACAGAACGTTAAAAGATGCGACACGTGCTTAAAACCATCTCAAAATGTAACGGACACATCCTTTTTAAAGTATTTTGCTATCCCAGACTCTGCACCATGTGTTTCTAATTTTCAAGCGTGGAGCAAGCCTTATGCTTGCTCCATCTCTGATTCCCACATTCCCACCTGTCACCTCTGCTAACTGTTACCAAGCAATGTTGTCGGTATGGGTTACCGACAGGTGTGAACCTCCGCTGCACAGCAGAAAACAAAGACAAATCAATATGCACCTCTAATCTCTGTTAGATGAAATAGAATAACAATTATTTTGGCAGTTCGTTTAGCTTTTTGCTGGGTCTTTTCCTAATGACCTATTAACCCTTCCACAAACATAAAAAGGACACAAGTAGGTATTCCTAGATGGGCAAAATCTTATGTCAGTCATGGTTAAAAAAAAAAAGACAACTTCCTTAATTTGGGTGTTTTATGTAATAAAATTACATTAAATGTGTCCTGCAGTGTACAAAAAACAACCAACAGGTTCTACACTGTCATTTATGTCAGTAAGAAAAAAAGAACAGGTTAAAATAGAAGCTTTTTAAATGGTAGAAAAAAGGATTCGGTGGCAATGGCAGCTACTACTTGTATTACTTAATTAAATAATTGTCAGAAAGTTTGACCAGATATATACAAACAAATATATCAGAGAAACAGCATGAAAATACAGCCATTTCAGAAACTGCAAATGTCAAATCTTGAAATTCAGAACAGTTGGTAAACAGTTAGCAATTAGTAAAGGACTGAAGCAAAGTTACTTCTTTAAAATTTATCTGGCTGTACATCTTGTCTTAGAAAGTTGCATCTAAAAGAACAACGTTTGGAAAAATATCCAATGCCAAATAAGTGTAAAAATCGCATCCCTTGGGAGTTCATCATCTAATTGGTTTTGATTTTAATATTTTCGATCACAATAAAGACAGACACTTCATGTCCACAAATCACACAATTTATCAGTAATACTGCAAACAGATTCCATAATTTCATCATCTTAATAGTCACATTCTTAAAAAAGCAATGTTCATGGCAGCTTCACAAAACAAGACCGGCTGATCTGCAGGTGTAAAGCAGGAAGCAAGAAGCATTAAAAGTATTTGAAATTTGGATTGACCTAAAAGGCTCAACTGAGTGAGCAGCAGCATTTATATATTGAGTTTAAAGTATTATTTGAAAGTACAACTCTATGCAGGATAATGAGCTGTTTAACTTCTTACAGTTGCTTGAAAGTGGCAACAGTGAGGAAATGCCCTCATTCTAATCAGAATTTTTAGTTGGGTGGAAAATTGCTGTATTTTAACTGGGCAGATCAGGAGTGAAACTTACTGAGCAGTTTCAAGCACAGCATTTTTTATTCAGTTCTAATCTCCATGAACATGTCTGCAGTTCCTAATGTAAACAGTTCTTCCTTGTGATCCAGGTCAATATTAGTCATGAAAAAGCAACAGCCTGTGGCAGTGGTTGCACTCAGATAATGGGTGACTATCTTAGATGCGAAGCCATCAGTCAACACCGTGTTAGGGAACAATGCCCAAGCAATGTACAACAGGAAAGCTTTAAAAGGAAGAAAAAGAAGTCAGAGGTGTTGCAAAAACCCAGTCAAAGCCCACATATGAGCTCTATAAATCCTCTTGAAGCTTCATCTCCTGCCCAGATTTGATTTAAGATTGGATCCTGGAGACTAGCTAGACCACTGCTTGACTTTAATGTGCTTTTCTTCAGGGCACTTCTTTGTTAACATCTTAAGTGTTTGTCAGCTGTGGGACTCACCCATGGCTCATCGTCCTAAAGGTTATTATCCAAAATGATGTCGAATATGGCCCAATCTAATTAATGATTAATTTATTAAACTCGCCATGTATTCATAACTGTACAAAACAGCCAAAATCATAATGTTTTCCCCTCAATTGAGGAGTTTTGACATATTAGACTATGTATCAGAATGGCTATATATTCAAAAATATCAAAATATATCCAACTGGTGTTGCAGAAGGACATACTGTCACACAACACACACAAGTTTTCTGCATTTCATGATCAATATCAGGTGACAGTCACTGGGAGAATAATACAGAAGTGATAAGATGATGATGGAAGTAACTTTGAAAAATTTGACATTTTTATTTGTTTATTATTATTTATTTTATTTTATTTTTTTGCCACTTGCAGTCCAACTCAAGAGAGTTTCAAAAACCTGAAGCCATAAACAATTCCGGTTTCTTCCTTACCATTTTGTGATGCCTTGCAATTGTTAACTTATCCATCTTTCAACAAGTCACCTGGTGATAACAGCTGCCTGTCTTGGTGATTAGCCCTACACCCCTGTTGATTGGACCAAACACATGCTGTTTAGACTCTTTGACTCCCTGTGGTTGATAAAAATCCCTGCAGTGCAGAAGTGATGTGGGGGGGATTTAAAAATCAACATCGGAAGAAAGACTATGTTAAGAAGCGCAGAGTGCAGGCAACATGTGTTCCGCCATGGGTGGAAAGCATTATGTGTCACACCATAGAGGGAAGGCTTTATGCGCAACGCCAGATTGCCCTTGCTGTGCTTCCCACTGGGCTAATAGCATCAGATGTTTTGCCCTCTCAGAGATTCAGGGCATAATCATAAATTTTTACAGATTGGTTTGCTTAATTCTCTAAATTTGGGAACGTTTGTGACTTTGTGTGTATTTAGCAAAATGTATTCTGTTACACATAAAGCAAATACAGTGAGGCTGCATCTGGTGTTAATTGGTCATGCTTTCTCACTTCTTTTAAAAGAGGAGATGTTCCATCTGCCACAGATTCAGCATCACATGGAGTGTCATATCAGCAGAAAAATAATAACCTGCAACCTGCCAAGTGTCTGACTGGATCTTTAAACATCTTGGTCTATTTTAAGTAATGATCCCATTTACCACTTTTTGAAGATTTCAATAATAATCTTGGACACTTATTTAATAACAGGAAAATAACACAATTATGAACAAATAATTATTTTCACTTTAATTTTATTTAAATTGCTGACTAAAACGTGTAATAACAGCAATTACAATTTATTTCAAAATCCAGCTGTCCTCTTGGTCTGCAATCATAAAAAATGCACTACATCAAAATTAGTCTTTTTAACTGTAAATTAGCTGATATTTACCAAATTATCGAAATATCTAAATCTAGCTTAAACCTTGCAAAGTCACACAACACAAAGTTAACAGCGATCAATTTAATGTGGCACTCTGTGACAAACTAATTATACCCTGAAGCCCTCACTAACAAAATATGCCAAATAAATCCCTAAAATTCAATGGGTGTGTAGATTGTATCATTGTTTTGTTTTTTTTTTTTCTCCATTACTTTGTGACCCTGACATTAGCAGATGGAAAGGTATCTACACCCATACGCATATTGAGTTGTACTGTCATGACAACAGCATCACCTGTAACCTCGTTAAATCTTGGGACAAAGCTGAATATTTTTGCACAATGTCATGCAACCAAAACTCTCAGAAGATTATGAGTACTTACTGTTTACCTTCGCCATAGGTTCTACATTCTGGACATCTACAATTATGTGAAGAAATATAATAGAGATATTTGTAGTCAAATTATCCAATAAAGAAAAAAAAGAAAGAAAGAAACAAGCATGTCAAAATAGGAAAGTATTTAAAAAGAGAAATAGATTTTGATTTTACTGAATGAAAACTCCTTTTCCTTCCTTCGTCAGTGTAATTAAGTGTTAGTTTTGCCAAAGCAAAGCCATTAGCTGTCATGTTATGTTTAATTAGCCCACATTGGGTTGTTAATCTGATTGGCGAGAGTGGCAGATACTGCAGGCTAATTACACACATATATACATACACACCTGCACACGCGCACACACCAGCAAACACTCACACGGTTCTATAGATAGCTCTGTGGACACTGTTTACTTAAAGGGACTTTTTACCATTACCTTCATTTCAAATCTGACACCATTCCATATTTGTTTTCATTTCAGAAAGAAGGAAGTCGTGCTCATGGTCTTATTCAGAGATTTTTGTGTTGTTGTCTGCAGTGGTTCTCAGGGCTGTGCAAGCGAGACGTTAAACAGGTTGCTCAAAGGGTTTTGTTTGTTTATCACAGTGCAGTGTGAAAGCAAATGTCACACTACCTAAAAATGTAACAAATGTTGCAGTTTTGGTCCCCTATCGTACAAAGCACTTATCTATATCAAAAACAACTTTATAGAAATCTGTCTTTGCATTATAGCTGCATGTAATGCCTTGAAATTGGCACCTGTCTCTTTAAGAGCCTTCTACCCTTTCTAATACTATATAGACGGCAGCAACTTTGTTTGTGCCAGTGTAAGTTTATGTGTTAAAGCCAATGATTACTGAAAATTTTTGTGCCACTGTAGATCATAAACTTTCTTAGAATTCCATGCAGATGAAAAGTTTAGGTGACAACTCTCTTTTCAAGGATTTGACAAGCTTCAATAACAGTAAACATTGTAAGAATTTATCATAGGTATTATAAAAATTACAATAACCTCTCAGTAGAGCAATATTTATGTTAAACATCAAAAGGCACCGAATCAATCTCTCACTTCAAATGATATAATTCATCAATTATTATATAATTGATGAGTGCATAAGAAAGCCATTCTTGTCTATGAAGACATTTTTTATATTCTTTACTCTTTGTTTTAATTGAGGTCATTCATTACAAAACTGTATGTTTGTGTGGAAATATTGCTTTTTTTTCTTCAGTTGTATTTTAAATGTTTCACTTCCACCAATGCTTTTAAATACTATTTTTGAGTTCTGTTTTTGGATATAAATGTGTTTGTTTATACAATTTGGGTTTTTGTGACAAATCTTTTTTCTTTCTTTCTTTTTTTTGGGGGGGTTATGTTCTTTGTACATTCAATTTTCTTGCTAGATTTCTAATTTCTAATTATCTACATTTGTTGGACATAAACTATATAATATAATCTAGTATCTTCTGTTTCCGTTTCTGAAGACTTCCATTTATTGGTAGTTATTTTTAATCCTTCATGACAAATAAAAATCTTAATGAATTTAATCTATGTCTTTAAATCTCAGATCCGTAGACAGGGAGGCATCCAGCTGTTGGTTGATCTGCTGGATCACAGGATGAGTGAAGTTCATCGGAGCGCTTGTGGAGCTTTAAGGAATCTGGTATATGGCAAAGCCAATGATGAGAACAAAGTGACCCTGAAGAACTGTGGGGGGATTCCTGCTTTGGTCCGTCTGCTTAGGAAGACTGGGGATGTGGAAATCAGAGAGCTTGTAACAGGTACAGTGTTTGCAATTAACTTGTTTTTCACCTCCTGGTACTGGTGCTAGCTATGCTCCAGAATGACAGCAGCCTTAGGAGAGGATATAATTACATGTGTCTGAGTGTGTGTGCAGGACTTTTCAGCTTTGTAATAACACATTGGTATTTTCTTGCGAGTGTATGAAAATAAACTGCATGCAGATGTATGGATTTGCTAAATACTCCATATTAATTTGATCCTCACTGTACCTGTTAATTTTGACTGCAGTCACAACCTCCCAGTCAGGCAATTTGTTGGCATCACAAAATGTTAAAATGGGTAATAGTCTGGTGTTCACCTGAACTCTAAACTCTCAAAATCTATATCTTAGATGAAACAAAACTCAGAAAGATTCCACCTCATGGCATCAAGTGCATTACTGAAATTATGACATAAAAACCCTTCAGGGTTTGACTATGCTTCTAAATGTTTGATTCTGTTTTAGTAGAAAAAAAAAAAAAAAGATTAGTTTTGTGTAGTATAACTTAAGACAGACATTTATGTAACTAGTAAATGACATGCATCTTTACATAAGTGTAATCCCATTACTTGTCTAATTTTTTTTACTTGCTAACTTTTGAAACTGAATTATTTTATGAGGAATTAATTCCATTCATCTTTAACAGAATTAAATTACTTGAGAAAAGTTTTCTTTTTACTTAAAAGAAACCAAGGTTATAGAACTTGATCACTGAAGCTTCTAAATAATTCTGCAACGAACCTCAAGATCTGTTTAAAAAAATAAAAAAAGGTTAGTCTTCAAGCAAGAATGTTAATAAATAAAGTCAGGGAAGGTAGTATAGTATGCGTACTCCGTTTTTTTATTTTTTTTATTTGATCATTCATGTTTTCGAGGCACAAAACATTTATTTTTGTTTTTCTCTTGCTCATTAGGTTATTTTTGAAGTATTTCATTTTGCTTTAAAAATATAACTTTGCCTTCCTCAAATTCAAGATTTTAGCAGCAATTATAGAATCTGACATTCACCGGCCAACCATGTTTAACCTTGAGGGCAAGAAAAGTTATCTAGTTGGAATACACACCCACACACACAAACTCAGAAACACAAACACACATACTTTATCTAATTTTAATGGTCCAAGAAATACGTGCAAGCAAAAGGAGTATAGAATACATTTAGACTCCCACACAGACATTGCATGACCTCTGACAGTTCAGTGAGTGTTATTTTCAGATTTCTTCGACATGTATTTATGTTTTTTTTTACTTTCCCTTTTTTTTTTTTTTTTTTTTTTTTTCTTTTTGTAATCTTTATAGTTTCGGAAAGTACTATGAAAGCAGCTGCTTCGTTCATTTCCATGCCACGATAACCTAAAACCCTGTTTTGCATGTCTAAGTTTTGTACAGTATGTGTCATAGGATGTATTCTTATAAAACCTAGTAGTGTGTAATCTCATGACAATACAAATGTGAGAATTCATATTGAGGTGATATTTGAGTGAGTGAGTTTCTGTTGCGTGTGTCAGCACTTCAAAATTTCTTATAATCACCTCCTGCTGGTGAGGCCACAACAAAAGAATAAAGCTAATCTATTATTATTCCACTCTCTGTTACTTACAACATCTTCTCTCTAATTTCTCATTGTCCCATTGTTATGTTTTGTATTCTTCCTTTATCACATTTTCCGCTTTTGTCTCTGTGTGTATTCCGTCGTGCTGGTGCTGTGTTTTTGCACAGCACCAGCAATGTCATTGTTTCCCTCTTTGCATTTTGTGTCACCTGACACCAGGCTAGGCCAAAGATAAGAAAAAACACGTGTAGCTCATAGACTAAGACATTTCCGAAGATAAGGCGTGAGTGCAGCCATTCAGTCAAAGACAATGTTTCAGATGCCATAAATCTACCCTAGCCGTTCACACATTCATACATAAATGAAGCTAAAAGAAGCCCTTCATCTTCAATTTGACCTTCAATCCTGCTCTATCTGCAATGGGACAAAGCTCATCAAGCACACACATGCATACTTAAATATACTTAGAGGATTCCCCCAGATCACTTGCTGTGAGACGGGGATGGACTTTAGAGAGAGCTAGAGTAGACGAAAAAATTACTGTTTTGGAGTAATGCAGCAGGAAATACAGAAAGTGACTTGTTCTTTCATGAAAGAAACATAAATGCCATTACTTTGTTATTGGCGCATGCAATGCAATGATATAGCTTTTAGTTTGGAGGTCATCATTGCTTTTTTAACGTCATCTCTACGCTTTTGTGCCTTTGCAAGTGTGGTTAACAGCTTTCAAGAAATTAGGTCTGAGCACTTACATATGTCATCTAGGAGTAAAGAAAAAAAAAACCTGACATGGAATGCGGAGTCTTTAACAAGGCATAAAATTCTAAATATTTATTTTTCTCAAATCGGCCACAAAGCTGTGTACTTAGTGTGTACATAATTTAGTGATGTTTTAGGGTTAGTTGTAACTCCCATGAATGCAGTTATGATGTTGGACACAAAAGCAGTATAAGAATCAGGCTGATCCTTATTCTGCGGAGAGGAGTATCACAAGACATCTGGCTGAGCTTAGAAAGCAACGTTTTTTTTTTGTTTTTTTTTTTTTTTTTGTATGTTTGTTTTCCAAAACTCCACTCTCTAAGGGATGCAGCAATCAAGACCAGCTTTGTATAAACCAAAACTGAAAGATTTTGTAAGTCATTCTATGATTGGGAGTGTGAAGGAGTCAGTAGCGTTAATTTACCCAGAGAAACAAGGCAAGTTTGCAAATGTCTTTCTCTCTCTCTGTCTCGGCATTGTAACGACATCAAGAAGGTTGCAAGGAAGTTGTTGCTTCAGCTGTAAAAGAAATCAGACAATTTTGAAATGTTTTTCTTGGTTCTGGATGAGAGTTATGATGTCTGTGATACTGCCCACTCGCTTATTTTTGTCAGTGGATTAATGAAAGACTGTGAGATTATGGAAGAGCATGCAGATATCCAGCCAATGCACGACACTACAACAGGGAGTGATTTGTTCACAGACTCAAATGCATCCATGGAGACACTTGGACTAAAATGGGGCAAGCTGGTAGATGCACAAATGAGTGGTCCAAATCCGACCGGGAAAAAATATTGGCCTTTTGTAGTGGACTCAAGTAAATGAATGCGGAACAGAAACTGGTATCATTGATCAGGAGATGTTGTGCAAGTCATCGGTGTGAATTAGCATTTTGTTGGTGTACGTATAACAGTTAATTTAATCAGAGAAACTGCACTGAATCACATAGAGTTTGTTTTGATGTTGGTTTTGATGTTGGAAGAACATTGAACCTAGTGACAAAAGTTTGAGGAAATCCCTGAGCTCTTTATGTAATGAATAGTGGATGGCAGATCTGGCCTTTACTGTTAATGTGAATGGGTTCATTGAACGAGGATCTAACACTAGTGATGCAAATTAAAAAAAACACTGGATGCACATTTACATAATGATATTGGTCTTTGAAAAACTGTTAAGCAATTATTTAATACAGCACATTTCTGGTATGACCATAAATCTGACGCACAAGCGACATTTGCAAACAACAGCGTTGAATGACGAAGCTGCTTTTGTGTCCTACTGGGAACCAAATTGTTGCATCCAAAAACGATCTGAGGGGCTCCTAAAAAGACAGTTGTTTTCTATTATTATTCAGATTTCATGTGGCAGCTTTTGAAGAGTCTTTTCTGCTCTATATATTAGTGACGTTAGGGATAATATCCAGTAGATTTTGCCTTTTGAAGGAAATTCATTGAAATTATGTAGAGACGAATGTCCAAAAATAGCTTGGAGTTGAAGTGCTTCAGTGTGTGTATTTGGAGTCTTGTCTAAAACCAGGTTAAATTTGCTGCAGGTCACATTAGATGATGTTTTCATAAATAGCCATCATGATCTCACTCAAGCAGACACACTATGAAATTTGGTCTTCCTTTCTTTCTGGCTCTTCCTGTCTCTGCCCTTATCTGTCCAGTTTGCCCCTGCTGCAGGCAGTGTGATTCTTTGTCACACATGTTCTGATGTCTGTTTATTCTGGTACTTAGCATTGAATCTCACATTTTGCATGCTTGTGTGCCAGCACTGCCGTATTTCAAAGACTGTCTTCATTTACCACTCCGCCAGTGCTACGATTCCCCTCTCAAAACCGCTGCTTTAATTTCATTTCAATTGTGCTTTAATTTCTTACAGATCATTATGGAGAGGATGTGTGCAATGATTTAATTCTATTATTTCTGCGTGATGCCGCTTTGACTGTAGACACATTTCTTCCCATTCAGTGGTGTTTTTATTAAAATATGCTCAATTTCCTACAGAGTTGCTCCACAGTTTACGCATTGACTATTTCAGTTTTAGTCACAGACTGTAGAGGCATTAGAAGTAAGATCTAAAAGCTGAGGCTGAAATAGTCTTAACAGGTCGAGTCAGAAAATAGGCATTTTATAAATTAATATTAAGAAAAGGTCCTTAACTGGCCAACAGAAAATCATTTGAACTAGTGGACTGTTAGGCTGAAGTACTTAATTGTCTATGTTTAAGTGTGTAATTTGTGTAATTAGGCCAAATTTACATAGCGGTTTGCCTTTTCATGCCAGTGTAAATCTATACAAAGTCCTTTAAAGAACTATAGAAATCACCCAAGTGTGTGGATAAAGAGTAAATGAGAACTAAAAAGATCAGCTCACGCTTGCTTTTCTGTGTTTTTATAGCAAGGAGACATTAAAGGCATGACTTTACCAGATTACATTCTGCTCAATGTCTGACCTTCAGTACTAGTGGTCACTTAAATGACTTAATGGTAAGCTATTGAAGGGACTCTCAAAGGTTCATTGAGACCATAGCGTTTACTAAAATGACACCAACAGGCATGGTCCTTGTGTAATGGTCTCTTATATAAGCGATTGTTTTTGGCAAGGAAAACTTCTCCTTAGTACTTCAGTGAGCTGTTATTTCAGTATTCTTTCTCCTTTCTGTGTGATTTAAGTACCTTTTTA